GGCAGGAAAGGACTGGGTGAGATGGGCCAGACACGCCCTGGAGCCAGAGCCAACCTCCCGCAGTTCCCTCCCCAGCCAGCCGCACCTGGGGTGGTGCAGTGGCTCGAAGGTCTTCCGTGGAGTGAGTGGGGTCCTTTCAGCAGGTGGGGTCTCTCGGCCTGGCCTGCAGGGATTGGGCCAAAACTGGCTCTTCAACATCCCCCTGGATTGCAAGAGGGTGGTTCTCAGTTGGGCTCCCTCCTCTCTGGTTCTGGGTGCATCACTGCAGAACTGCTGCTGCCAAGTCACTACAGCTCAGCAGCTCCTGGGTTGAGCATGTGCCCCCTGGTGGTCAGTGTGCATCATACCTACCAGCCGGTTGGACGGTCACTTAGCCTTTTATATATATAGATACTGCATTTGGTTTTTCCATTTGTCAGTTGACAGACATCTGGGCTATTTCCACTTTTGAAGTATTCTGAATAATGCTTTTATGAATATTTATGTATAAGTTTTAGCGTGAACACCTGCTTTCAGTTCTCCTGAGTATACACCTAGGAGTAGGATTGCTCAGTCATACATAGCTCTATGTTTAACTTTTGAGGAAGGAACTGCCAAACTGTTTTCCAAAGTGGCTGCACCAGCTTACATTCCTTTCAGTAGTGTATAAGGCAGTGGTTCTCAACCTGTGGGTCGCGACCCCTTTGGAGGTCTAACGATCCTTTCACAGGGATCACCCGAGACCATCCTGCATATCAGATATTTACATTACGATTCATAACAGTAGCAACGTTACAGTTATGAAGTAGCAACGAAAATAATTTTATGGTTGGGTCACAATGTGAGGAACTGTATTTAAGGGCCAGAAGGTTGAGAACCACTGGTAAGGGCTCTAAGTTCTTCACATCCCTGACAGTACTTGTTAATTTCCATTTTAAAAAGCAATTATAGCCATCCTAGTGGGTGTGAAATAGTATTTCATTGTCATTTTATTTGCATTTCCCTAATGACTAATTATATTGACCATTTTTTCATATGTTTATTTGCTGTGTATTAACTGATTTGTAGAAATGTCTGTTCAAATCCTTTGCCCCTTTTTAAATCAGATTATTTGTCTTTTTTTACTGTTGAGTTATAAGAGTTCTTTATTCTGGCTGCTAGACCATTATTAGATACATAATTTGCAAATATTTTCTCCCATTCTGTGGGGCATCTTTTCACTTTCTTGATTGTGTCATTTATTGCACAATAGTTTTGAAGTTTGACGAAGTGCAATTTATCTGTTTTTTTCCTTTGGTTGCTTGTGCTTTAGGTGTCACATCTCTGACACTTGTCTAATCACCTTCTGTTTTCTTCTAGTAGTTTTATAGTTTTAGCTCTTACATTTATTTAGGTCATTGATCCATTTTAGTTAATTTTTGTATAGGGTATATGAGGTCCAAATTCATTCTTTTGCATGTGGTTACCTAGTTGTCCATTTGTTGAAGAGACTATTCTTTCTCCTTTGAATTGTCTTGGCATTCTTGTCAAAAATTCAATTGACTGTAAATATAAGGGTTTATTTTTGGACTCTCAATTCTATTCTATTGATCTATATGGCTATCCTTATGTTCATACTAGTCTTCAATACTATAGCTTTGTAATAAGCTTTGAAATAGGGCAGTGTGAGTCCTCAACTTTGTTCATACTTTTTAAGACTATTTTGACTGTTCCGGTTCCCTTACATTTCTATATGAAATTTAATGATCAGCCTGTTAATTTCTGCCCAAAATGGCAGGTGAAATTTTGATAAAAAGTGCATGGAATTTGTAGATCATTTAGGGGAATATTGTCATCGTAATAATAAGTCTTCTAATCCATGAGAAAAAGATGTCTTTCTATTTACTTAGGTCTTAATTCCTTTTAATTATGTTTTATGTTTTTCTGTGTCAAATCATACTTCTTTTTGTTAAATTTATTCCTAGGTATTTTATTTATTTGGATGCTATTATAAATGGAGTTTTCTTAATTTGGGGGTTATTGCTGATATATAAAAATACAACTGATTTTGGCATATTGATCTGGTACCTTAAGACCTTGTTGAACTTGTTTATGAGCTCTAATAGTTTTGTGTGTACATATTCCTTAGGGTTTTTTGTATGCAAGATTGTTTCATCTGAACTAGAAATGGTTTTACTTGCTCAATTGCCTTCTCTAGAACATCCGTTTCATAATGTTGAATAGAAGTGGAGAAAGTGGACGTCCTTGTCTTATTCCTGATCTTAGGGAGAAAGCGTTCAGGTTTTTACTATTAAGTATGATGCTGGCTGTGGATTTTTTTATAGATGCCCTTTATTAAGTTAAGGAAATTCCCTTCTAGTTCTCTTTAGGTGAGTGTGTTTATTATGAAAGAGTTTAGTGTTGTATTTTGTCAAATGTTTTTTCTGCTTCTATTGAGACGATCGTGTGGTTATTGTCCTTTATTTCAGTAACATTATTACATTGATTGATTTTCATATGTTATAACATCTTTATATTTCTGAGGTAAATTCCACATGGTCATGGTATATAATCCTCATATATGTTGCTGGATTCAGTTTGCTGATATTCTGTTGAGGCTTTTAGCATCTATATTTATAAGGGATATTAGTCTATAGTTTTCATTTCTTGTCATTTCTGTCAGTTTTGTATCAAGGTAATACTCTCCTTATAGAATGAGTTGGGAAGGGTGCCCTTCTCTTCTACTTTCTGGAATAGTTTATGAAGGATTGGTATTACTTTTCTTCTTTAAACATTTGATAGAATTTATCAGTGAAGCCATCTGGTTGGTCCTGGACTTTCCTTTGTGGGAGTTTGTTTTTTAATGTAAGGTACAGAAGGGCATTTATAGTATAATCCTATTGGAAGGAGAGAGGGAAGTCTTTTTAAGGCTATATCTGGGTGCTTATATTTATAAAGAAAAGTTTTGAAAAGATATACAAGTAACAAAGGTTATCGTTGAGTAATGAGATGGGAACTTTTTTATTGATTAAGTTATTACATATGTGTCCTTATCCCCACGTTACCCTCCTTCACCCCCCTCATGCCCTCACCCCCCTGTTGTCTGTGTCCATTGGGTAGGCCTATATGCTTGCATATAAGTCCTTTGGTTGATCTCTCCCCTTTACCCCCACTCTCCCCTATCTTCCCTCTGAGGTTTGATGGTCTGATCGATGCTTCACTGTCTCTGGATCTACTTTTGTTCATCAGTTTATGTTGTTCATTATATTCCATAAATGAGTGAGATCATGTGATATTTATCTTTCTCTGACTGGCTTATTTCACTTAGAATAATGCTCTCCAGGTCTATCCATGCTGTTGCAAATGGTAAGAGTTCCTTCTTTTTTACCGCAGCATAGTATTCCATCATGTAGATGTACCACAGTTTTTTAATCCACTCATCTACTGATGGGCACTTAGGATGTTTGCAAATCTTAGCTATGGTGAATTGTGCTGCTATGAACATAGGGGTGCATATATCCTTTCTAATTGGTGTTTCTAGTTTCTAGGGGAGATGGGAACTTTTAGTCTTCTGTTCTTTTAAAAAAAATGTGTACATGTATTGCTTTACATAAAAAACACTATCTAAAATGTCTAGCATCTGACCATTTGCTCTTTCACTCACACAGTGAAATGCTAGGGGTGTGGATTGGCCTGTCTCCTTAGGTACTCATAGTCCAGTAGGTTCCTGCATCTCTCTCCAGCTTCACAGTCTGCTCTCCCCTTCTCTATTTTATCTTCCATCACACTGAATTACTTGTCAATTCCCTGAAAACAACCCACAGTTATATGCTAGGGTGCCTTTGTACATCCTATGCTATTCCTGTTCCTTGTCATTCCTTCCCCCTATATCTGACCAATTAATATCTCTTCATCTCTACTTATCCTTTTAAATATTATTTACCTTCCAAATGTTAGTTACCTTCCTTTGTGAACATGTCTCAGCTCACTCTTCTCCTTGTCTTTTCCCATCCAAGGGGTAAAATCTTTCTTCTGCTGCTTGTCATACATTAGTCATATTTTTGTTATTGAACTTTGTATTTACCCTGCATCATAATTACCAGTTCACACATATGTCTTTCCTAAAAGTACAATTTATTCAATTTTGTATCCCTGGATCCTAGCACAATGGTCGGCACAAAATAGATGCTCAAGAACATTTTAATTGAATTAGTGATATAAGAAAAGCCATTATGGGTACGATGAGCAATGTGAGCAAAGGCCAAAGTCATGAATTTATAACATGAACTAGTTTGGCAAGACAGGAAGATTCATACAAAGAAATATCGTTGAGTGGTTTTGGCAAGGCTGATCACAGAAGCTCTTAAAAGCCAGATAGAGCAGACTTGGTAGGTAAACGTTGGTCACTTCCTTCAAGTCTTTTCTCCAATCTCTCTTCTCAGTTGGCTTACCCTGACCACCTCCTTTAAAACCATCACCTCCACATTCACCCTTCTTATCCCAGCATTCTTGATCTCCCTTTCCCCAACCTTTCTCTTTTTTCCATTGCATATCACATTCAATATAATTTACTTTTTTGTTATGTTTTTTATTTATTGTTTGTCTTCCCCTTTGGAATATAAGCTTCCCAGCCAAGGTAGTCTTGTTCACTGGTATTTCCCAAGTACCTACGACATTGCCTGGCACATAGTAGGCACTCAGTGAATCCTAAATTAATGAACTTCAGTATCTTGTTCAGAGCTGGCATAGACAGCTTAGGTATATAGTTCAGATGTCTTGCTTCTGAGACATTTGTTCTGTAAAACTGCTAAAATAGTGCCATCTATTTGTAATATAATCTGAGGCAGAGCTTGGGGGGAGGGGGGGCAGGGGGATGGAGGTTAGCGAAAGAGAAGTATTGCCTTAAGGTTTCTTGCCTTAGAAACCAAATTAGGAAGTAAAAATTATAAGTACATTTGAATTACTTCTTGCTTTAAAAAATGTTGTTTTGTGTGGTGATTAATTCCAATGCTTTAATAATTTCTCTTTTTCTTTCTCCACAGACCTTTGTAGTATTAAACAGAGGGAAAACTCTCTTCAGATTTAGTGCCACGCCTGCCTTGTATATTTTAAGTCCTTTTAACCTGATAAGAAGAATAGCTATTAAAATTTTGATACATTCATATCCTTTTCTACAAATGTGGAATGAGGGTAGCAATTGCATGGTCTCTGGTACAAGTTTGTGAATTGTGACAACTGAGTTATATGTTAAGTATTTTATCAATAGTGCCATTGACTGTCCCACCAATCAGGGGTTTACAAGGGTACGTCTGCCAAATTCTGAACGGTGAGCTTCAGCAAATTCTTTTTTTCTTAGGATGACCCTGGAATGGTGTGGGTATCATTTAGAGCATGGGGTGGGGGACGTCTGGCCCGAGGGCTGTATAAGGCCCTCAAAATCATCTGGCCTGGCCCTGCCGAGGCATTAGGGGTGAGTTAATTAAATGTTTGACTTAAATATAGCAGGCTAATTTTTAAGCTGATAATTTCGTACAGCCTGTGAATGTGCTATAAATATCCAAATGACCCTTGGCAGAAGAAAGGTTCCCCACCCCTGATTTAGAAGGACAAATTAAATAGTAACCTTTTACTAAAATCTTACTTTTTAAAGTGCTCAGACTTTAGTACTTTCATCCTGAAGCAGATTATTCAGGTTTTTAATGTAATAAAGTCCAATATTAGGATATTTTAAAAGCTACTTCTTGAATTACAAATAGTTGAATGAATGCTTTAGAGGTCTGCCTTGACTATTTTTTAGTTTTTGAACAGTGAGCTTAGAAAGTATCTGAAGTAGTTTCTCAAGTTAAATGGCCCTGGTACAGAGGTTTAGATTTAGATGCAGGATTGATAGGAATCTTTTCTGGTTTTTTTACTCCCCTGAAACAGAAATTGCCAATTTATTCATGTGGCCTGACTTTTACATCTTATGAATATAGGAGCTCATACGACAAAAAAATTACGTGATGGGTGCAGCAACTTTGTATAGTGACTTGACACTCTCATGGTTGGTATTTAATATGACAGGATTTAGTCCCATGCTGCAAAGCGTATTGTATCCTCCAATTAGGATGAGGAAACGAGCAGTTGCAACTTGGTAAATTGGTTTGCCAAGCTTTCACCACATTTTATTAACTTGCAAGAATTTAGCAACCTGGTTCTAAAATATCCCCAGGAAACTGATTTTCAGTTTAAGATTTGCACCTATGAAATGTCAAATCCTCACCGAGGCACCCCAGTGATAAATGTGCAAACCTTGGTCAGTGCTATGAGGGGGAAGGAAACATGAGAGAGTGTCGATAGGAAATCACTTCCCACTTCTCTCCCAGCTGTCACGCCGCTGCTTACCTTTGCCCATATAAACCTGCTATCGTAGCCTGAACTAGAGGCCCTCACAGGCAGGAACACAGGCATATGAAGAACATGTGGCTTATAAGCAACATAGTTCTGAAATCTGAAGGCTTACAAATAAATAAATAAATCACAATACTAGTACATCTTCCCTTTTTATTATCAGGAGATGGGGAGTGTTTTTCCTCTCCTAACCAGAACATGTTATTATTCCCTGGGGGAAAATCCAGTTGTAGTGAAGAAAATCCAGCTATACAAAGTGTGTTTCCTTTTTAAAACCTCACTAATAAAGGATGTCCCAAACTTCACCCAAGATTTGAATTTAATGGTGCTCACTATCGTGACATGATAATCCAGTTTTTTGTGCCTAAATTGCAAGATATGGATGTGAACAACATGTGGTTTCAACAAGACGGTGCCACATGCCATACAGCCCGAGAAACAATTCAATTACTGCATGAGTCATTTCCTGGTCGTGTAATTTCCCATTTTGGTGATCAGAATTGGCCACCCAGATCATGCGATTTAATGCCGTTGGACTTTTTTCTTTGGGGTTTTTTGAAGTCTAAGGTTTATGCCAACAAGCCCACGACCACCCACGTCTTGAAGGAGGAAATTGAGCGCTTGTATCAATGAAATTCAGCCACATTTATGCAAAACAGTAATGGAAAATTTCAACAAAAGAGTGCGTATGTGCCAGCAAAGCCGTGGAGGCCATTTACCCGATATGCTGTTCCATACATAACCCTATACTGTATACTTTAGGAATCAATAAAAAATTTACAATTTTTAATTATAAACCTGTGTTTTCTATCAAAATTACTTCTTGCGTGAATTTTGGGACACCCTTTAGAATGAAGACTGTGAATGCCATTAGCAAGAAAGAGTGAATTAGCAACAAATGAGATGCAGCTTCTGTGCTTCTTTAAGTGACAGTTTGTGTTTGAGTAACTCCTGACCTAAAGCAGTTTGATTTTTCTCAGTAGACAAGAACAGAGAGGGCCAAGAAATGTTGTGAATGAAACTGAAATGGCAGCTAAGTACTTTGCTATCCATAAACATTCCTGAGCACTTCCAGAATGACCAGGTGAATTTGCCCCATTGCCTAGCCCTTAGACATGTGATGGTGTGGATGCCCTTGAAATCCTTACCCAACATGTCACAACAGGTTTCCCAAGTTAGACAGATTCAGCACACACTGGCTATTGCCTTGCCCCCCAAGAGTAGTTCAGCCCTTTGGAGGACTTGGGGGTAAGTGAACCCTTAACTACATGTAGATTTTCAAACAATGAGTTATGCAAGGTAACTAACAGTAAATGAGGACTGAGTAATATAGATTAAATTTAATTTATTTTCTCACCTGATGACCTTGAGTCTGGCAGACTGGTAGATTTTTGGTTACTGTGCACAAAGGTATTTAGGGGCTTATTCCATCCTTGAGGTGAAAGTGGTAAGAGAGGAAAATGTTTTATCCCAAAGGAGCGGTGTAAGGACGGCCTTTCTGAAAGCGCGTGGACATTCTGTTGTGTCCATTCATGATTCTCTGGCCAGCTGTTTATACACACCGTGGGATTCTGCGGTGGCCGCAGTTGTCATTATCACCTCACCTTTTCCTCCTCTCCTGTGCTTTGCCTTCTTTCAGTTACTGGTTTAGGTCTCATGATACCCCATGTGCAGCGTGTTTGTTTTCTGAGAAAAAAATAAAGTGGTCAGACTTTGTGTCTTCTCCCGTTTTGTGCATTCTCCCTTGACTCTTCTCTACAGTATTTAGCATGATCATTATGTGCACTATTTTGACCAACTGTGTATTCATGACTTTTAGTAACCCTCCCGACTGGTCGAAGAATGTGGAGTAAGTAGCTCGTTTATTTATTTGACCGCTTGTTTAGTTCATTTTTAGTCACTGAATCTTGCCTTGCCACAGTTTGTCCATCAGGAGGAAAAATATTTAATTGCCTATTTTTTATTTCACAGAGAGGGGTGGGATACATAAATGTAGGATTTAGGAACTATCAGTAGTCAACTCTAAAAAGAGAAAGGCTCTGGAAGTTCCTGCCCTTCAGCCCCATCTTTTCCTGTGCTGGCTGGTGCCTTTGCCTTGCTGCCACATCACCATCTTCTACCCTCAGTTCCTGACAATACTACCTCCTTCTCCAATATTACCTTTCCCTTCATTTTGACTTGTTTAAAGTTAAAAATAGCTCGGGGCTGCCTCCCCTGACTGGAAATGATCACATACAGATGGCAGTGCAGAGGTACATATGTGTGATACCTGTCAAGACCCAGCACAACATTCCAAAGTTCTTGATTTGTGTGTTCCAGTAAGCGTCCCTTTCTCTTCCTCGCTTCTATTTTGCTGCATTGGCTATGCCCTTTTTGTTTTGTCTCTGCTGGTTGAAGCCACACCGAGGCAAGTACATTATCTTAAAAGATTCGCGTATCGTTTCTGGCTGTTCAGAAATGACCTCACGCTATCCATTTCTTTGACAGGTACACATTCACAGGGATTTATACATTTGAATCACTAGTTAAAATCATTGCAAGAGGTTTCTGCATAGATGGCTTCACCTTTTTACGGGATCCATGGAACTGGTTAGATTTCAGTGTCATCATGATGGCGTAAGTTCTCTGCTTACTTTTTTGGTGTTCTGGGTGCAATTGTGGGTGGTTGTACTCCCGGGTGTTTGTATGGTAGTGTAAGTGTGCGTTTGTGGGCACAGTTGTATGAGGAATTAATGGACAACTCTGTAAGGCCGTATGGGTTTATGCTTATGATTCTTGCTTGTGAGGGCCTCTGCTCAGGCAGTGACGGCAGGTTTATATGGGAGAAGGTAAGCAGAGGCTTTACAGCTGGGAGAGAGAGCAGGAAGTGATTTCCTAATAATGCTCTCTCGTATTTTCTTCCCCCTCATAATATTGACCGCGGATTACACATTTATCACTAGAGTGCCTTGGTGAAGACTTGAAATTTTATAGGTGCAAATCTTAAATTGAAAATCAGTTTCCTGAGTATATTTCATTTCCTATAATTTCATGAGGCAAGCCAGATGTTACAGACTTGAGAGCACATTTTAGAATCAAAACATGAGCCAAGATATATCCAAACTGGTTGATTTCTAAAGAAATACTGACCAGAACTTCAAACTATTGCTAGAGAACAATGTAGCTCCACATCGGTATGCTAGTGCTCTTAGTGATTTCTGTTGTGACAATGAAAATGTATGTCTGGGGAACTTAGCTGATGATAGAAGAGTTATAGCAGACCTTATTGTTTTTATTTCCAGGTTGAGAAAGCACTTGATGGTTTGGTAGAGGGAATAAGGGTGTTGTATAGATTGTATGTGAGTTCTGGTGTGTGCATGCAGATGTGTAAGAGATTGAGTGTGTGTATGGGTCTGGGCAGCAGATAGAAGCATGTATTTCCACTGTAAAATGTAAGTGAATGATATGCATCGAATATTTGAAACTGGAACTTTGACTTTCTGTTATATTAAGGCAATTTCTAGCTTTCCAGCATTATGAAACTGAACACATTTGTGTTCATTTGAAATTTAAGTGTCCTCGCTTGGCACAGGACTGGTGATAAAACGGGCATTTAGTATAATATTTGCTCTGATCTCATGACCTGGATTTTCCTGAGCCCTGCTTTTGTATGTCATAGGCTGAAATTTCATCTTTAGGCATAACTGCAAAGACATGCAGACAACTTTTGGATAAGTCATATATACAGACATTTAGGTATTTTTGCCATTGTCAGCTAAGGAGTTATTTTAATGTATACTTGGTTTTATGGGGCTCCTGCTACAGAACTATGTGTCCTTTTCCTAAGAAATTGTGCACAAAACATGGGACATAAGCCTTTGTTACCTCCTGGCCTCAAGTGATTGGCCGAGAGTAACCCTTCTGAGTCAGACCCGCATATCACAATACTGATTAAGAGAGTAAAGCTCCAGGAATCTTCTGGCTGTATCAGTTCTTTCAAATATACTTTTAAATTCTCCTTGCTCAATTAAAAAAAAAACGTTCCTTAAATGTTTATATGTTGAAACTTTTCTTTTTCAAGGAAAAAAGAATGAAATCATAGCTTGTGTATAAGACCCTTTCTTCCCCCCCATTCTCAAACCCTCGCCCAGTGGTACCATTACAAGTTAACTTTGGTTTGATTCTGCAGGTATATAACAGAGTTTGTAAACCTAGGCAATGTTTCAGCTCTACGCACTTTCAGGGTACTGAGGGCTTTGAAAACTATTTCGGTAATCCCAGGTAAGATGGCCCGGGGTTGGTGTTAGGTGTTGGGTTAGGGCCCTGACGTGACGTATTGTACTTTTTGTTTTGTTGTGGTTTTGTTTTCTTCCTTTGGTGTTTGTGTTTGTGTCTGTGTTTGTCATTTGTGTCTGTGTGTGACCTCCCTTACTGCAGATATGTGACAGAGTTTGTGGACCTGGGCAATGTCTCAGCGCTGAGAACATTCAGGGTTCTCCGAGCTTTGAAAACTATCTCTGTAATTCCAGGTGAGAAAATCTAAACACAAGACTGACTTTGCCTCATCTTCTCTTCCCCGCCATTCATTTTGTCCACTACATTCTCAACCGGTGTCAGCACATTTGATATGGCCTTGCATTCCGCATGTGTTTACCTGGAGACATTCTCTGGAGTGGCCCTTTGGGCACTTTCTCCGACAGTGCTTGCCAGGCATGCAGCCCCCATTCCATCCATGCTTCTAAAAAAGCACGTGCTTAAGAATCACTTGGATTTCACAATATTGAGAAAATTGTCACAGAGCTGAGCTATCTCTTTGAATATAAATCATTTGCTTTCTGGCCTCATGGAATTACAGTAATTTTAACATTCACCATCATTCCATTGCTTATGATTTCTATGCTTCCTATCGCATGATTTGCTGATGGGATGTTACTCAAAGAATTGCACTTTTATTGTTACTGTGTTAATGGGATCATTTAATCACATAAGAGACCTACCCAGTTAACTAGTCCAGTATTATAGACAACCTAAAGGCCCTCGGCCTGGCCTGTGGGACCGGACCAAAACCGGCTCTCCGACATCCCCTGAGGGGTCCCGGATTGCGCGCGGGCACAGGCCTGGCCAAGGCACCCCACAGGT